CATTTCTACCTTTTCTCCCCAAAGCTGCCTACATCATCCCCCCCCCTTCACAACTTCATGAGGAAGGTTCGGCTGAGAGTATGTGACTGGCCTGAGGTCACTCAGCAGGCTTCCATGGCAGAGTGGAGATTCGAACCTGGGTTTCCCAGACTCTAGTCTGACACTCTAACCACTGTATCACACTGGCTCTCATGCTGGTCTAGAATCTTTTTGTAGCCTCTGGAAAACAATAACTTCCAGGCACAGAAAGCAGCAGGGACATGATTTGGAGCTAGTTTTGCAAGAACAGGTTGTGTGGAGGAATACTGCTGAGACTGAGCACACCAGAAAAAGACTGAAACCTGGCATGAACTGAAACAAGCGAACTGAGGCCAGGTTGAAGGCACTGTTCTCCTTCACACCGAAAAGTTCTAAGCAATGCAATAACTGGTGTTTCACCAGCATTTATTTATTTATTTATTTATTGAATTTCTACCCTGCCCTCCCAGCCAAGGCCGGCTCAGGGTGGTTCAAGGAAAGGGAGCTTGTTCATTGTCATGCTGCTGGAGCTTTCAAAATGCTCATATACTACTATTGGTGTAGCAAGGCACTTGCCACTACCACAGGTTAACTTTACGAACAAGCTTGTTATGCCCTACAATGATTTTGCAGGAGATTTTTTTGAATAGGCCCCATTCTAATAGAACCTGTCCCTGGGGCCTTAATAAGATAGATACATTCTACCGTATCAAACACTTGTCAGGGATGCTCTGGTCTGATCCTGCATTGAGCAGGGGGTTGGACTAGATGGCCTGTATGGCCCCCTCCGACTCGGTGATTCTATGACTCCATGCCCTGCTTGAATGCAGGTTCTTTGAGAACACGAGGATCACTATATTAAGCCTTGAATCAACCAACCATCCCCCTACACTCTTTTGCTCAGTGATAGGGATCCTATGTTTACTCTAGAAACTGTAAAAATTTGTCTGTCATAGAATCATAAGAGTTGGAAGGGGCCATGCAGACCATCTAGTCCAAACCCCTGCCCAAGGGGGGTTGGGCTAGATTTAACCCTTGCATTAAAAAAGAAGTATCTTCTGCTGCTCAAGATCTGTGAATCAAGGAGCTTCTAAGGGTATAAAAGGAAAGGAAAGGGCAGCTTTTTATGCTAACTGAATTTGTAATGACCAGACCAGGAAACTGGCTAAGACCTTGTTCAGTCATTGAAGCTACATTTCCTGCAGGCATGACTTCTGCATAAAAAAAGTTTCTACTGTACAGAATCTTTTTCTGAATAATTTTAAAACTTGTTGTGGCAAAGGCTTCACAAAAAGAATTATCAGCAGAGATTTGAAGGACATGAGGTAGTTACACAGATGCTTCAACAAGCAAAAATGGCAGTAAGGAAGAAACAGCATATTTGTTTGGAGGAGCAGAAGACCTTTGGATGGTTGATGGTGGTAGAACTGGAAGAGTGGAAGACACGAAGATAAATGTGTTGGGATTAGAGATGCGAAGGCCCGGGATAACACCAGAAAAAATTCAGTGTAAAACGTTTCCTGTGGACTTCCCCCCCTCCCCTCAAATGTTTCCAACATGAAAATTTGAGTACACACTGAAAAACTACTACGAGGTATTTAAACTTTTGAAATGCATGAAAACTCTTAAGAAAAAAGTAAACTCAGTCAAAACACTTTCTAAAATGTATACTAGTTTTCAGAGATATATTGTTCAAATGTGACAAATTTTGTATACAGTTTCTATTGTGTATATAAGGATAACTTTATCAATTATTTGGATCTCATAAAGTCATTAGTGGAATGAATCTGCAGGATCCAATTGTTTAAACATAGAGTTTAACTCGATACTTGAATCTGCTAATAGTCTTTAACAAATACTCTTACTAGAGTCAAAAGTATTAAGTCCAAACAATACATCTTTTTACATTTGTTATTTTAACCATTTATTCTTATCTCCTTTTCATCGTGAACGCACATGTTCTTGCTTACTGAAAAATCTCAATGAAACCAGTAAGAGGACCTTCAGCACCTGGCAAGACTTGAGAATCTAGCAATGTACTTGCTCATCACGGTCCTTATCCAACTTCTCTCTATTTTTAGCCATCCTATCATCGGGGTACACATATTCACCATATTACAGCTCTTCATCTCCAGCAGTGTAGTTGAGTGCTTCCTCAACTACAGCTATGACTGTGCAATTAAGTTACATATCCCATTTTTATCAGTCATAATAATATGCAAATCCCAACATTTCAGAAGGACCTAGTGAGTAGTAATTTCTTTTCCGCTCCAATTCAGCAAAATGCTCTGTCATTCACATCCAAAAGATGTTTCAAGGAAGAAACAAAAAGGAAACGTAGTAAAGGGAGTTTCACATTTTAAAAGAAACTATATTTTCCAGAAGACTTCCTAATAAACTGCTTAAACATTTCTCTTGGTCAGTTATCCATCTCCCCGCTGACCCAACAAACACTGATTATACCAAGGACAGCAAAAACTGCTTTTCCTTTCTGGACTGATCTTTCACCCAACTTGTTACAGTTCAGAGAGTTATACTTCCTAGAAAGACAACAAGCCATTCCACTAATTGGGAGGCAAAAAAAGAAAAGAAAGGACTGATCAAATGCATACTTGACAATAACTGCAGCCAATTTTGATTACCAGATTACTGTACCCTTATGAAAATTCAGCTGCTTGTCACTGTCAGCCATTTGTGTCCTCCATATACTTTTCGGTGTACCCCTGAAGAAAGAACAGAACTTCTGCCTACAGGGTTATAGAACTCAAATCTTAGGACATTGGAAGGCCATTTTATCATACAAATATCAAACAAAAAACTCCTATTAAATAGTTTTTCTCCTGAGAGGGTCAAGCAAAGAGAATGTAATGAATGACTCCTACACGTCAATGTGTATATGCACATGATCAGATTCTTCCTGTGTGCCACATGACATCATTACCTTGTATGTATCCTGATTTTAATTTATGCAGGAGAAGAAACACATCTGGAAACAGCCTCCTTTTTATATGATTCAGCTGGAATTAAAGAGGTGCGCTTACATGGGAAGATTCCACATCACCAACACACCCTGCAAATTACTTCAGCACAATTTAGGCAGATACAAGCACAGCAAACTCAGCACCCTGATGCATTCTGAATCAGACACAGAAAGGATCATGGTTCTCATCACCACTTAAAACAGCAGGAAAGTGTCTACTATCCTCTTTTTAACTGAGAACATTAGTGCTAGGTCACGCTAATGAAGCCAAAACAACCTGTCACATGCATCGTTCCCTATGTTTTTATCAGCACCTTGCTCTAGTTACATTCTGTCCATCCCAAAATACTGTGCAGTTCATATCCTCCCAGCCTGCCTCACCGCTGCCTGCATATATCCCTCAAAGTGCCCCAACACATTACAGCTGAAGGATGGAAGGCAGACACAACATGGTGAAGGGGAAAGCCTTTCCAGATTTACCACTTCTTCCAATTTTTGTTATCCACTGTGGACTTCTGCCATTCTTCAATCATGCCTTTGAGGCTACTGATAAAATGTCTCCAAACAGTTTTAAACTTTTGATTTTTTGCATTTGCCTTCCAGACCTCTGCAGCCTGATCCATGGCCCAAGCACCATTTCTCTGGCTTAATATAAGCACGCACACACATACAATATCCCATTCATCTCATGACCCAGGACAAAGTGCCTATTTTAGATGACACCATGAGAGGGAGGGCAGGAAGAGTTGCATCAGTGCTTAAGTTCTTGTGGCCTTTTCTCACATGCCCAGAGAAATGCTGATTGCCACTTTGGGGTCAGGAAGCAATTTTTCTCCAGGACAGTTTGGCTGGAGATCATGGAGGGATTTTGTCATCTGGGCATGGAACAGTAGTCACTGTTGGCGTGGAGGGAGAGGTTTGTGAATTTCCTGCATTGTGCAGGGGGTTGGACTAGATGACCCTGGAGATCCCCTTCCAACTCTATGATTCCATTAAATAGATGTTGCAGCATAGGCCAGCATCTATAGGCCACAGGAAAATGTACTTCCCATTCTCGGACCCTGGCACTATCCTCAACGTTTCAAAAATCCTGCTAAATTCCGTGAGAGTATTAAATGTGTTAGCATTGTTGTTTCATCTATGATTAAAAGGACAGGCTTCTACCATCTCGTGCTACTTGGGGCAAGGCATGGATTCTGACCTATATACTCCAACACAAACAACACAACAAAAGAGTAGAAGTAATAGTCCTCTCAGTTGAAGGAATCCAGAATGAACAGCCGGGTCGCCCTTAACAATCCCCTCTCGTCCTACAATTAACTCCTCCCCGCTTCCTAAATCTATCCCCCCCCCCCTCCTTCCCCGGAAGAGGGGGAAATACAATGCAATCCCACACACAGCTGCTTTTACTAGTCTGAGCCTCCTGTAGGTTTCGACTGTAGTCACTCCGCAGGAGAGCGCGTGCACTGTTCGGAGGGTTACAAAAAGAACAAGAGGTGACGAAGCAACGAGGAAGTTAACTGGAGGAGAAAGGCGTTCAGTCCCAAGTGGTCCTCAAACTGCCACCACTCCTAATCAGTTACCCTGAAAGGCCGGCTCTTCCTCTCCTCCTCCCCACTCACGCAGCAGCACCAAAAAATGGCGCATGCAAATTTGAGCCCCTGAGAGCTGAAAAAGTTTCCTGTTTTCAGGAAGCAACAATACGAAGAGCTATAGTACTAATTATGGTTGCCGAGAGAGAGAAAGAGAGAGATAACGAAATTATTTCCCCCATGAAATCAGCAATAGTCAACGTGCGACACGTTCAGGACGCCACCGCACCAGCCTAGAAGAGGCGTGCAAGGGCACTCCACGGGGCGGCTGCGTGTGCCCTGTAGCAACCCCGTCTCCGCTCGTCAACCCTCCGATACGAAGGGAAATGTCCGTCCCCCCCCGGTACACGCGCTTGTCCTTCACACAACAGACACCTCCCCCCCCCGTTTCTGGCCCTCGCGGCCCATACCTAGTGGGGGCGTCGCCTTGGGCTCCCCCTCATGGAGCGAGTCCTGGAAGTGGACCTGGCGAGGGTTCCCCGCGCCGGGGACGATCCCCCACAGGCGGCTGGCGGTGCCCCTCAAGAGGCGGCCGCTCTTGCCCGTGAAGGTGGTGAGGTATTCCATAGTGGACGACGACGACGACCCGTCTCCTGAGAGGGGAGAGGCAGGGGACGGAAGGGGCTGAGTGACTGAGGCAAGACTCTAGGGGGCTGCGAGGCCCACAGGCGGGAGCTCCATGGGTCTCCTTGGAGGGCGGGGGGGGGGGGGGGCGTGAGGCGCTTCAGTCGCCCCCCTCCTAAAGAATCACATCAACCACCCGTCCAACCAACTCAAGGCCCGACGCCAGAGAGACAGAGTCGCTGGCTGAAAACTTGTGCAAAAGTTTGCGGCCGGCTCCGCCTCAAGCTCTTTCTGTTAAAGGGGCCGCGCCTCTCACTGGCGGGGAAGGAGGCAGAAGGAAGCCACGCGGCGGAGCTTATAATTTACGTGTGGGATTCACGGGACACAAGGCGTGTCAGAAGTGTCTGCAGGTTGTGGCTCAGAGATTTGTTAATGCTCCGAGAATTCCACAGGCCACACTATATTGTAGTATAGTACAATATAGTGTGGCCTGTGGGATTCACTGCCACTAGGAGACGGCCGCGAGTTTGGTTTGCCTTTAAAGCAAGCAAACATTTCACAGAGAGGACAGATGTATTAACACGTGTTACCCAGGAGATGGAACCTGCATGTTGAGAAGCAATCGACTACTGATGGGATGGGGGGGGGGTTCACACCAGTCTGTGACAGGAAACCTATCCTAGTCAATCATGTTTCTTTTACACAGGACTTAGGTGATAGGCCTTCCCCCCCCCTTTTCTTTGAGACAGCCTCTTTTTACTGGATCTTGTTTTAAACTGGCCTCTCTTTGTCATATCAACATCCCACCTCCACCACTACTGCCATCTTTGTGTTGTGAATATAAAAGCATCAGTCTAGGTATGAATCCCTTCAGTGCATCTGATGAAGTCAGCTCTGACTCACAAAGATTCATTCTGGGATAAATAGGATTAGTCACTAAGGTGTCACTGGACTACAATTTTATTTTGCCTCAGTGTGGCTCCCTTCTGTTTTCAGATGCTATATTGATAACACTTTTTTAAAAAAAAGACTTTGTGGGGGGTTATTTGCACTTGGGAATTAGTTGGGTGAGGGAAGGCCTATTTTTCCTCCTTAGTTCTGCCCTGCAAGTGTCCTCCACCATTTGCAGTAGTGTTAAAAGGAAAACACAGGTTTAAGAACCCATGTCGTCCCCCCCCCCATGTCATTTCTTTTACACTTTGTGTATCCATTGTGATTAATTTTGGCAACATGCATCTTCTTTCCTTTCTTGCTGAATTAAGACCGTTTCCCCCAAATAAAAATGCTCAAATGCAAGCAGGCAAAACCTTTCTAGAGATTCAAGTCAGGAAAACGTAAAACCATGGAATGGCATGAGGTGGTGACCCATAATTGTTTTAGCAGCAAATAAAGGGCCAGTAAAAATAAGCACCAACTACAGCAGTGACTAGTGGGCAAAAATGCTAGGAAATAGTGGGGGAGCTCTCTGAGAATTCTGCTTGCAGACATGGCTTCCACTCTAGTGATGAGCCTCTTATTCGGGTATTCTCAAGCTCCAGGTAAATAGGGTTGCCAGCTCCAACCTGGGAGCCTGGGAAGGGCAGGGTTTGGGGATGGAAGGGAGCTCAGAAAGGTATAATGTCATCCAGTCCAGCCTCCAAGGGAGCCATTTTATCCAGGAGAAGTGATATCTGTCATCCAGAGAACAGTTGTAATTCGAGGAGATCTCCAGGCCCCACCTGGAGGCTGGCAAACCAATATTAAAACAGGGCTCTTTTTGTAGCAGGAACTCCTTTGCATATTAGGCGACACGCCCCTAATGTAGCCAATCCTCCAAGAGCTTACAGTAGCCCCTGTAAGTAGAGCTCTGTAAGCTCTTGGAGGATTGGCCACATTAGGGGCATGTTGCCTAATATGCAAATAAATTCCTGCTACAAAAAGAGCCCTGAATATACCCTACAAGAAGGGTGCAAGCACACATGCTTTACTTTTTAAAAATTGAATTGGTTCCCTTCCCTTCCACACTTGCAGAATTGTATACATGGGTATACGTGGGTAGAATCACCATGGACTACCTGACAGTCTTTTCAACTCCCTCTTTTGGGCCTTGCCCACAATTAATTGCATGCAGGGTTGGTACAATGTATTATGCCTGGCCATTATTTATGGTTATTAATTTATTAAATAACATAATTTATGTATTTTTGACTCACCTGTTACTTTTTATGCATGAGTAGCAACAGAATTGAAAGTTAGGCAATGTGCAAAGATACCAAAGAGAAAAGAATCATGAATCTCCTAGATTAGCTGTTTAATGCTTTGGGGAAAATATATTGCAGCCATCTAGTGGCAGAAAGCAGCACTGTGGGTAAGGTTGAAAACTGGCTTAATTTGCATATGTGGAGGGCTTAAATCATCACTTTATTATAATGTGTGTGTGTGGCTAATAAAGCCAAAACATTAGCATTTGTGGTTGTTACTGATCTACTATACTGCTGTACCGACAACATGTTCCACCCTGACCTGAAGTGGCAGAAAAAGCATTGTCTATCCTGGGGCAAGATCCATTAAACTGGAAAGAGAGTTTGATTTATTGAACTGGGCTACTGACTTAGGTGAGCTGTTGATTTTTTTTCTTCCTAGCTGGAAGCTGTTGCTTCTTCCTGTAAAGGGTATAGTATAACATAAAAAGCTTTGCTGAACTGGTATCTTTATTCTTCCAGAGCTATACGATCACTATAGTTGACTGAACTAACTATGGCCCCGGTCACACGGCAAAGTTGTCGCGGGAGAGGCACGGATGGTGGGCGGATTATCCGGGTGCGATCACACCCCAACATCTGGGGAGTGGAGTGCACCCGTGACTAACCGCCGACAATGCGCCTTAAAAAACTAGTACCTCCAAGGTACTAGTAAACGTTTGCCACGGGCTGCCTCCAGACGCCCGAGGTGTGATCGCGCTGGCGTGCGGCATTCCCCTCCGGTCCCTAGTTTACCCGCTGGCGCCGAGGGAAGGACGACCCTTGGTGTGCCGCCGGCGCGTCTGATCGCGTAATCGTGCATCAAACTGCGCCGGGGCAATTAGCCACGCCTCCCCCCCGCGATATCCAGCCTGTGTGACCGGGGCCTATGTTGTTCACAGTCTCTCTCTCTCTCTCTCTCTCTCTCTCTCTCTCTCTCTCTGACATCTTTATTGAAATCGCTTATGGAAAGACAAAAGTCCTCCCCCAATACTGTGTCTTCTACTAGAAGCAACAGTGTACCTTCTGTTTTCCACCACAAACAACGTATTTCATTGCCACACTTCTACCCTTTGGATGTCACCAGCAGTATCTCTACAGAAACTGTAAGTACAAAAGTCACTTGTGAAGCCAGCTTTGCACCTCAAGACTTTGGAGTGGGGGGGTGGGATTTTAGTATTGTGAGCTTATGGAATATCTTAGCATCTGTTCCTGTTCATCTTGTATAATTTTCTGTTTTAGCTATATTTGTTTTATGCTACCAAAATGTGTGAGTCCCAGGCAATTCTCAAACATTCAAATGAAGTCCCAGGTTTTCTGAGTGGGGGCTTAGAGTGCAAAGGAGAAAGATATCATAGACATAAGGGATCCGGCTATTTTGCAGTGCTTGACTCTGGACACCCAGGCTTCTTATTCTTAGCATATAGCCAGTAGCTCACACTCAACACACAGTAACTAGCACCAACACATAATAACTCCAGAGTATAAATATTAGTTAGTCCCTTTGTCGTGCACCCTCAATATGCATTCAGCAGGTCTCTGTAAAATTCACTAAATAAATACAACTGGTTCTGTGGCACTTTGCTTGAATAAGCAAGAATGGAAACATAAGTTAATGTCAGCTGAGTTAGGTGAATCTTCTAAGCAACTCTTAATAGTACACAAAGCCTACTCAAGGCCTGGGCTCAGCAGCCTTACATATAAGGTATCTACAAGTACATGATATTCACCAAAACTAGATCATTGCATTTTCTCTGAACATGCATACTGACATTTCATTCTGATAGCTTGTTTGATTCTAAAATTAGATTGGGGGGGACATGAGAACATAAAGTAATCCTGTTCTGCTGCTTAAATGTCAACTGAACTACACACAAAGTACCGCAGGTTATAATTTATTTTATAGCTGGATTTCAGGAGTGGAAATGGATTACTTTTATGCATTCACTTAAAAAATCAATTGATTTTTGTTTGATGATCCTTATTGCTGCTACTTTTTGATATTACATCTGCATCTTTTATTTTTACTTCTTAAATCGTTTCTATTTGGATTTTATAGTTTGTAATCTGGCTCTGGTAACAAAAAACTGGGGTATAAATGATTTAAATAAGTAAAAATTGATCAGAGGGGAGCATGCACAGGAGATGATGGCTCCAGGAACAATATCCTGGAACTTCATATGCACAGACCCAAGTAAACAAAAGTTCAATTAATTTCAGTTAATTCATTCTCCATCACAATATGAGAAGCTGTGCCCATAGCAGTTCAGTGACACCCTGCTGTAATTTCTTTAAAGACTGGAAGGATTCCTTGCATAGCAGCAATTAGAAACAGATTCCATTTTGACATAATATTTAATCTCAGTTAACCATCTCAGAGGTATGCTGCTTGACACGCATCTCAGATGTTGCTGTTATCTTATGAAATCTAATGAATCTAAAAGCAGAAAAGTCATGACTGCAGATGTTATTGCTAAGATAACCAAGTTTACTGCTTCTTCCTTGAGACTTGTACAGGACGTGCTGTTAGTTCTAAGTACCTGCTTTAGCCTCTAACATTGTTAATCTGCTCAAATGCATTTACTTGAAACAAGGCAACATGTGAGAAGACTCATTTACTTCATTTACAACCAACTGTTATCCCCAGTGGGGGCCCAAAGCGTCTGACAACATTCTCCCCTTCTTCATTTTATTCACACAACAACCCTGTGAGGTAGGTTAGGCTGAGACTGTTTGACTGGCCCCAAGGGCACCCAGCAAGCTTCCATGGCAGAATGGGGATTCAAACCTGGGTCTCCCGGATGATCCTAGTCAAATGTCTACCCACTTTACCATGCTGGCTCTCATGGTGCCCAATATGATATCCCTTTCTCCCAAATAATATCAAATAAATAACTGAGAGTTTGTAGTTCCATCGAAGGGCA